CACCCTCCGATGACACGCCGAGGCCCGCGATACCTCGAGCGAGCTTACGTGGTGAGCACCATGGGCAAGGGCGGGCAGGTTCCGCAGCGGGCGAGCGACTTTCAGAGCGAGCTGGCCTCGTCGCGGGCCGTGGCGGCGAAGGTCGGTAGGGCTGCCCCCCCGGCCGCGCGGGACCCGCTGCTCGCGGCCGTCCCCCGGGAGGTGTACATGGACGCTGCGTCGAACGTGCCCTCGGCGAGCTACTACAAGGACCTCAACGACAAGGTCGCGGACATCATCGAGCGGCAGCGGACGGGGGCCAAGACCGCGCCGCCGGTCGAGCTTTCGCATGTCGTCGCGGCGGACGGCGCCCTGGTCTACCCGAACCGCTACCTCTGGATGGTCTGGGTCTACAGCGCCGTCGCGATCTACCTGATCTGCCAGGCACCGAGCCCCGCGGCCGTCCTACTCGGTGTCTCCGCCATGTACCTCTGCTACGACGTCTACTCGGGAGTCACGCACGTCAATGACGACCAGCGGAACTTGGCGGGCCTCAAATCGTACATCCTGTTCCAGGGCTGCCTCGAGTTCCAGTGGCACCACGCCATCCCCGTCGATATCACGAAGAAGTCCTTCGTCGCCTGCTGCGCCGACCTGAACATCGTCGTCGCCGTCTCCGTCGTAATCAACTGCGTCGCGCTCGGCTACTCACCGCCGCCGCACTCACGGGCCTCAAGCTCTTCGGCGCCTACTTTGGCCAGTACTGCCACCGCTCCGCCCACACGCCCAAGAGCAAGCGCCCCCGCGTCGCCCAGTACCTCATGGACAAGGGCTTCATGTGCCCCCAGAACAAGCATCTCGGCCACCACAAGCCGCCGCACGACGCGAACTTTTGCCTCGTCGGCTACTGCGACGGCATCATCAACGGCATGCTCAGACACTGCGGCACCAACGACTGGGTCTGGTTCGGCTTCTGGCTCGCCTTCTCCTTCGGCGACGTCTACGTCGTGAACAAGGTCCTCACCGTCGCCGCCCCCTCCATCTTGAATGATCGTCAAAAATTATGTGGCTTCTCCCTCTAAAAACCAGTCATTTACACTGCCGTTGAGTTTATTCAACATTTACATCAAGACCAATCAAGACTCGCCTAGTGGGAGATACGAAAGACCAAGTGGACGGAAACTCCAGGGTCTACCTTGTCCTCTCCGGAAACCCCCCGTGGTGCTCAAGTCAGCTCCCTCCACATATCATCTACCTTAATGCAGCGTGGCATGATGGTTCGGGCACCAATTCTGTTCGCAGCTGGGATAAATGCTGTTGTCGGTCGAGATCCGTCAGGTAGTGCCGTTTGTCCGCCGGTGTTGTATCGAGCGACCAAAGATGAAAATGGAGTGTCCCAATTATCACTTTTGCAATCTTGTAACCAATATTTCACGAGCCCAGCTGGGTGCGTGAGAAATCCAAATATTCGACAATTGAACAATCAATTGTGCACAGGTACTATGCCCCTGCGGGTGTGTGTCAGGCAGACACACTAGATGACGCTGAGCTCTTCTTCAAAAAGTCTTGGTATAATGGGACATCTTCTAATTGTCGAACGCTGCCTGGCTCGATTGTCGGTTGGTATTTCCTAAATTGTGAATGCTCCATGGGCTTCTTGTGAGGAACTGTGTGTGCTGCCAACCGAACTAAACTGTAACGTTACGATCTGTAGGTGCCTCGAGAATAGTGCGTATCCTGTGTTCTGTCCCCCTGGCTTCTTCTGTGAGAATCCATCGGATTACCGTGTGTGTGAATCCGGGTATTACTGTAAAACTGGGTCGGTGCAGCCGGTCAGGTGCTCTCAAGGTGTTTCATGTCCTGCTCAAACAGAAGTGTCATCTTCAGGAGCTATCTTCAGTTTGCGACTTTTGGGATTTCTGGGTCTTGTCTTTGTTGGTTATCGTGTCCATTTTGGACTTTCGAGGTTCGAACAGAAAGCTGAAGAGCGAGCCATGCAAGATTACGTAGCATCAGTGGGAACCGCTGGCTCGTGGCTCGCACAGGAACACTCGATACACTTCAAAAGTCTTTCATGCGAACTACCCAATGGTCTGAAGATTTTACATGGGGCTTCTGGGAAATTGTTACCCCAATCCGTCACGGCAATTATGGGTGCATCCGGGGCGGGGAAAACTACTCTCATGAATGTTCTTGTGGGCAAAGTGAGGAAAAGTGAAGGCGCGATTTTTTTGAACGGACATCTTTGTGAAAACCTGGGGGATTTCCCTTCCCAGTATGGCTTTGTGCCTCAGGAGGATGTAATGCATCGAGAGTTAACAGTGATGCAGAATCTGACATTCGCTGCTGCTCTCCAGTTGCCACCTGGAACGGGACGATCAGAGATCCTCATGTGTGTCCGTGACGTGCTAGTCAAGCTTCAACTCGTGCATGTGAGACACAGCATAGTTGGCGATGAATATCATAGAGGAATATCAGGTGGTCAGCGCAAGCGTGTCAACATTGGATTGGAGTTGGCATCTCGCCGGCCCATTTTGTTCCTTGATGAGCCGACCACAGGACTTGACTCAGTGACGGCGACCCAGGTCGTCCAAATGCTAGCTACCATTGCTCGAACTCATCGCATGACCGTCACTGCAGTCATCCACAACCCAGGCATTCGAGCGTTTGCTGTTTTTACTGATCTTATCCTGCTTCAACCTGGCGGCTACGTGGTTTTTGCCGGCAAGACCGATCGTTGTGTTGGATATTTTGATTCAATCGGATTTCCATATGATGTAGAAAACATCAACCAATTTCCAGATTTTTTGATGTGCTGTTTGTGTGGTATTGAGGCACCATCACACGATGAAACGTGGAGTCATTCAACCTCATTCATCAATGCATGGCATCAACATGAATGTAGTGAACAGGAAACTCCGATAGAGACCAATATCCCAGTCGCAAGGCCCGTCTTGGGCTTCGTTGGGCAATTCCGCGTGTGTTTCAATCGAGCTTTGCACCAACATTACTCCTCGTTCACACACATATTTCGATACTATGTGTCGCCAGCATTCCTATACGGCATCGTATTAAGCAGAATCATTGGCAGACCTGAACTGCACAACGTTCTCGGTTCGTATCCTGATGACATATGCGCTCAGCAGCACCCTGACATTATCGAACGTTGTTTGCGTCTACAGCTCGATGGATACGCGATGGCAATTCAGCCTTGGGGTTTTACCTTACTTGCCTTTTACAGCTCCTTGGCTGTGAGCACCTTTGGTAGCGAGGAATGCGTTTACTGGAGAGAGTCTTCTTCGAGGTTGAACACTCCAGCATACTTCAGTGCGAAAGTGATTGCTGATTTGCCGAGAGTTTGGATTTCCGGATACAGTACGTCCATGGCACTGGCGACTAGATTCACATCAAATTTAAGCATAGTTGAATTGACTGTGTGTTTGATCTATCTGGTGAGCTGGGCATACATTTTGGGCTACTTGATCTCCTTCTCGATTCCAAAAGCGCGGCGTAGCAGCGTGTGTGTGCTTGTTGGTTTAGCCATGGGTAGCACATTCGGAGCTCTCGCTGTACCTATGTCCACAAGTGAGTCCCAACCTTTGTCCTTCCCTTGAATAGTATAGTGTTGTAATCCGTTAGGTTTCGCGAGGCCATATGAGAGTAACATAATGCTCGTCAATCCGACAAGGTGGATGAATCAGTACACTTGGTACCTGACATCCTTCTTCCCACATTCTAAGGTTCGGTCTGGATCCTCAAAAGGTGACAAATACTATGAAATGAGAACTACCAAGGATGAACTTTATCATTTCCGGGAAAGCCGAAGAAGCATCATCGTACACTCTAGTGTTTGTCTTGGAGGGCTGTATGCTGTTGCAGCTTCATGTATAACCTTGCGCCAGGTGGGAGTGAAGTTCTTGGCGAAATGTACTTGATGACGAAATCATTAATTTCGTGCTTAATTGGAAGAAGTAGTGGTTATTTTGGACTGCACGAATCGAGACAGCGTGGGTTTAAGAAACGAAAAGACAACGTCCACGACGACACCAAACACTGTTGGGTGTAGGTTAGAGTGGCTTCACGGAGCGCACGTAAGCTCACTGTCGAGTCCGTAGACAGCTACATTCCATCGACCATGCCCTTGATCAACTACTGAGAACCAATCAATTTTATTTACGAAGCATATGCCGCTGCTCGGAAGTATCGCGCTTACTCTTTGGCCATGCGCGCGCACCTTTGCCTCCACATTCGCCCACTGCGCCATGTGACTCCTGCACAAGTTTTGAATACTTTATGGTCGTCTACCTGACTCAGGTTGCATGGGACGCAGTGCTCGTAATACTGCGGAATCTGTGGGAAATGTCTCAAACGTGGACCGTACTCCAAGCAATGGCACTATCAGGTCCTCGCCCTCTTGCGCAGCACAGGCAAAGATGAATAAAAAACGTGCTCACTTCTTGCCGCCGGTCAAGAAAGAAAACCCCGCGCCTTCGTGTTCAGGCTCGCATATGGAATCCGCCCATATCCCCCGCCTTGTGTAATGGCATATCCCGCCGGCGGGATATGTCATTAGAGAGAGATACCCCAAACTAGGGTAACAAGGAATGTTGATGTCTTGGGTCATCTGGCGCTTCCCTATCTCGGAGAAGCAGAAGGAGCGGACCATGTTCATGCTCGGGTGCATTGGCATCGGCGGGCTAGCCTAGATCTCAGCCGAAATATAAATTGAGCGATAGCGCACAAGAGATTGGGTTGCGCCACAGTCTCTCCTTCATGATACTTCATTGGATCCACTCTAGCCTTCGCTTCAACTCGCGCATTAATGAACGGTCCTTGAGAAAGAAGTTTTCATCCAGGGCCTGGGCAGCCTCGGGTATTAGGGAAAACTTATCCTTAACCTGGGTGACGTTAAACTCGTGGGATCCAACTGAAATCTCACTTGCGCTTTTCAGGGGTACCTGCAGATATTCCCCAAGGCGGCGATAAACCAAGCTAGGATCAGAACGCAAACAATGGTTCTCAATAACAAGGATCTTGTCAGTGGGCAACGCCGCAGCCCACTTGGAGAGGAAAAAACCCATGCAAGTCTTTGCGATGGCTTGCGCCAAGGCAAAGTACAGAAATGATTCCTTTGCTTCAATGGATGTCAGATCGACTAGAAAGGCTCTATAGAGGGGGATGATGCCCCGCTGTTGTGCTTCGATCTCCAAAGCATGCAACGCATCCACAATATTTGGCGACGAGGAAAGCTTGAAAAGCCATAAATCAACATAACTAGCGAGAGCGCCGTCTGGCGAATATAGAGATGGATCCTGAATAAAATCTATGGGATTCTTGCTACCCGTGCTATTCTCCATCTGAGCGAGCTGAATAAATGCAAAGTTCACAAAAGAATGGAAGCTCTCAAGATGCTCTCGAACGCAGAAAATAAACTTGGAGCCTGGTCGAAATGAGGTTGAAAGGAGAGGATTGAACACAACATCGGGCGAGCCATCGACGGCTTTCGTTGGGAATTCCTCTGACGTCCACAAGCATGGTTTGCATGGAAAGAATGTCCCATATGGTAACCATTGCATCGCCTGTTGGCGGTTTGTCTCTTTTCCATACACGTTGAACCATGCGGGCAACACGATGCCATGAAGATGCATAGGGAACATCGCCATCAACGCCGTAGATCCACACTTTGGAAACCCAGCAACAAATACGCAAGGTTCCAGTCGAAGGCAACAAGTCAACATGTACCCAAAGCGAAACAACCATAAAAGACACCACCTGCCTCCATGAAAGCAAATGTTGTACACTGCCTTCGAAGAAAAATTGAGAGAGGGTCCCATGCACGATACCAAAAAGGCAGCACGACACTGCCTCGTTCCGAAAACTGATGGGCTCATGTCGGCCCCGGGTAATCTAGCCATGAGGAATATCAAGTTCAGACGCAAATCATGAATGGACCGCGGCCAACGGATATCCATATCGCATGTAGCTCGCACCGGAGACATTCGAAGCTTTCAGTAAGTGCAGGTGATGTAGCCGCCAAGAAATATGTGCAGGTGATATAGCTGCCAGGGCATATGGTAATACGGCTCGCTTTCTGCAAGCAGCTCAAGTTGAACTTATTACTGTCTCCTAGACGGCGTCCGATGCGGCTGCCCCGTTCAGGGCTTGTTCATAGCATCATAATCTGACTCGGTTGTCGTGGAACTCCACTAATTCGACGCCGTTCGCGAGATCGTGTCGCTCCAGCGTCGGATCTCGCTGGATCGCTGATCTGAGGGGCTGCCCGAGCGGCTGGTGTTCCGCGAGGAGATCGTGTGCGCTGGCAGCGAAATTGTGTCCACGCCTAGCCCCTGGGCCGACGGCGACGTGTTGACCGTCCTCGCGCCGCGAGACGGCCGTGACCGGTCGTCCGGGCAGGTCCCGTCCGGAAACGACGTCTCGTTTGGGCGCCTCCGGGCGGCGCGGGCGCGACTGCTGGTCATCGTTTTTTCCTGCGCTTTGAAGCAATCGATGACTTCATTCGGTCCATAATCTGACTCGGTTGTCGTGGAACTCCACTAATTCGACGCTGGGGACTGTGGAAAGCTCGCGCCGACCACGCGCGGAACGCCCCCGGAACGCGCGTGGGGTCGATTTGGGCATGGGGGCTGAAAGTACCGAATCGGGCCTAGGACACAACATTAAGCAGCCTAGTCGGAGTCGCTGGCGCAGAGGGCCTCCCAGGACGACTGGGCGTCCCCGGGGGTGGACGGGCTTGGCCTCCATGCAGGTCGCCTTGCGCTGGCGTTTCCGGGGCTTGTGCTCCAGGTCGCGCGCGTCGTTCGCCGCGCGGTAGCGCCGGCCGCTCCGGAAGTAGATGTCCTGCACCGCGACGCCCTTCGCCTCGATGATGCGCTCGATGCGCTTCGGGATCGCGGTCCTCCACGATCCGGTCCGGCGTCGGCGCGACCTGCCAGGCGCGCACCACGGAGCGCTCCATCTCGGCCGGCGTGCCCGTCGAGAACCGGCGCGGGTCCGACTCCGGCAGGTTCGACGTGATCGCGACGTGGCGCCAGAGCTCCTGGGACAGGTCGCTGAACAAGTGGGCGTCCAGCGGCATGAGTTCCGGCGAGTCGCCGACCAGGCCGTGGGAGTACCGAGCGAACTCCGCGTTCGTGTCGTCGAGCGCGCAGACCTGGCGGTCCTTGAAGCCCAGCGTCGCGAGGTAGTCCTGCGCCTCGTCCTCCCACCAGGCGGACAGGGCGTCGTGCCAGATGACGAAGTCGTGCTCGTGCGTCGTGCCGCGGAAGAGCTTCTTGGACTAGTGCGCGGCGCAGGCCGCGCGCTCCGGGCAGCGGGTGACGCTGCGCGCGACCGTCCGCGGGGCGGACGTCGACGTGGCGGTGGAGTTCGAGGCGGTGACGGTTGACGAGCGGGTCGGGGCTGCGCGGTGCGCGGCTGCTGCGCGGTGCGCGGCGCCCGACGCCGCCGACGGTGATTTCAGCGTGCGCGTGGACGCGCGCGCCGCTAGCGGGGAGGCCGGCGCGCACGGTGTGCGCGCGGGCAAGTTCTGCCGTTTTAACGAATGGGCGCGGCCAGGTCGGCTGCCCCAGCGCCGCGCGCGCAGGAAGCGCCGGAAGCGCAACGGCGCGGACGGCGCGGACGCGGCATGGGGTCACTTTTTTTGTTCCAACGAGTGATCTCACGGATGAAATAAGATCTCCGATGCTGGGAGAGGTCGACAGAGAGATACGACCCCGGCTCCGCGGACAACGAGGCCGGGCGCTGCGCACCGTGGCCCGAGTGCGTGACCGCGCCGCAGGAGCCATCCGAGTTCCCCGACGCTCTGCGTTCCTGTTAGCCCCCCCCGGTCCCTACGGCCCTAATGGAGCGGCCTGCGCCGGCTCGGGATCGCTCTGGTGCCGTTTGGAGTCTAGCCTGGCGTACTTGTCGTGCTTCGCCACACGATTACGACCCGAATGCCTATAGCGGGAGTTCATACCCTCGACACCTCGTCCAGTAGCCCCGGCCCCCGTATACTACGGCAGCTGAGGTGACGTGAGGATAACAGAGACGCCGGTGTACCGCCACTGCGTAACCTCGATAGTTTACCCTCGCACGGCAGGGCGGCCCCATTAGGCTGCTTCCCCGTACCGGAGTTACTATCTCGTTACTACATGTTGTACTCAAGGCTTATGCCGCGCAGTCGGCGCGCGAGCGAGCCGAAGCCCCACTGGCGGGCTTGATCATCGTGGGATGGAGCAGCCCTACGACCTTGTCGAGGTCGTAGGTCGACATGGGAATGCTGCGACGGAAGCGTTCGAGGCCTGGCCGAGTTCAGCAGCGACGCGTGCACGCAGAGCTTCTGGAGCGCGCCGACGAGCACGAGAGCCTTCGCCGTCGCCGTCCCGCCCCGCGGCGCGGCGCGTTCGCAGACGTGGTCGTAGAGCTGCTTCTCCGCCGGCGTGAGCTCGACGACGACAATGTACGTCGTCTGCGGCGGCAGCGCGAGCGCTTGCGTCTCTCGCCGCAGGTGCAGGCCGCCGAGCGTGTTCTGGAGCCACGACCACGCGCGCTCCGCGATGAACGCGCGGCCTGGGCTCGCGCCGACGACGCGACCTTGGTCGATGCGTGCGAGGAGATCGTAGGGCAGAGTCGCCGGGTCCAGGAGCAGGAGGAGCGTGTGGAGCTCGGAGAGGTCGTTGCTGATCGGCGTCGCCGTGAGCAGGAGCAGGCGGCGGCGTCAAAGGCTGGACGCGACGGTGGACTGCTTCGTGCCGGGGTTCTTGAGCCTGTGGGCCTCGTCGAAGACGATGAGGTCGAGCATGGCCGTGAAGGCGTTCGCGTGCCGCACCATGGCCTCGTAGCCGATGACCGCGACGAGCGGCGCCGACGTCGTCGCCAGCCGCTGCAGGACCTCCGCGACGGACAGCGCGCGGGAGTCGCCGTCGGCGGTGACGATCGCCGGGGCCTCAGTGCCGAGGAACTTGCGGAACTCGGCGAGCCAGACGGGCACGACGGTGGCCGGCGCGACGACCAGAACCCGCGTCGCCGCGGCGCCACCGCCGAGCACCGCGGCGATGACCGCGATGGTCTGCGCCGTCTTGCCCATGCTCGGCGCGTCGCCGAGGATCGCCGCGCGCCGCGCGAGCACGAACGCGACGCCCTCGCTCTGGTGCGGCTTCAGCGCGTCTGCGAGGCCTCGCGGCACATCGCGGAGCGCGGGCGGCGGCGGCAGACCCGCACGGACCGGCGGATCTCCGCGCGCCGGCTCGGCGGGGGGCGCGGGGACGAGTCCGCGAGGAGGATCTGGGGCGTCAAAATGAGGCGAAAATCCGGCCCCTCTCGCGCGCGGGGGTCCGGGAGCGGAGGCAGAAGCGTTTCCGCGCGGCCGGTCGCGGCTCCCTCGCCGTCACCGGGGCGCGCCGACGCGCCTAGAGCGGGCTCGGGGCCGCCCACGACATGGTCGCCGCTGCCCCCCTCCTCTCCCGCAGCGCCGTCGGCTGGAAGACCGCCTACGAAGTGCAGTTGCACGTTGTCAGAACCTCGCCCAAGGGAAAAGCGGGCGGATCACAGCGGCGTGCGGTAGGCGTCGTGCTTCGCGTCGACGCAGTCGGCCCAGCTCCAGCTCGCGAGGTTGGGTATGTCGGCGGTGTGGCACCGGTCGACGCGGCTCCAGGCGCGCAGCGCGTCGACCTTGTCGTCGTCGTCGTCGTCGTCGCTGCTGTCGCCGCCTTTGGACGCCGCCTTTGGACCCCGCATGGCACGCGAGCCGAGGAGCGAGTCGAAAAAGCCCGGGTCGATGAAGGAGGCGCCGCCGACCATGGGGTCGAAGCGCCGGGGACCCGGGTCCTTGTGCTCGGGGGACACAGGCGCCGCGGGCTCGCAGCCCACTTCGAAGCGCACGCGCCGCGGCGGCGGCTTCGACCATGGCTCCTTCGCTCCACCTTGGCGTCCGGGCTCACCTTCGTCGAGATGGGGCGGCTGGGCTCGAGGCGGATCTCGAGCGCCCCGGCGCTGTGCTGGCGCGCCGGTGTGCGGCGCCGACAGCGGGCGCTTGCCCGACCCGGGCGGCTCCATTTGCCCGCGGGCACGGTCCTCCCGGAGACGCGGTCGATGACGTAGACGTCCTTCAGGCCGTTGAGCGGCACGCCGATGTGCTCCGTGGCGTGGGCGACGACGACATCTATATTCTATTTTGCAGTGTGTCGCGGAGCGTCCGTCCGAGCAGCAATATAAAACTTTCAATGAGTGGTTTAAAGCGAGCGCAGCGAGCAACCTCAATCAAACGAGTGGCCAATAGCTCGCGAAGCCAGCTTGCCGGCCGTAGGCCGGCTTGTCTATATTAGGGATCCCTATTCTATTTTGCAGTGTGTCGCGGAGCGTCCGTCCGAGCAGCAACATAAAACTCTTAATGAGTGGTTTAAAGCGAGCGCAGCGAGCAACCTCCCAGATAAGGTGAACCATAGCACTGGCGTTATAGGCTAGGTTAAGGAGGAGGAGAAGGATACGGGGATCCGTACCCTAGGGGATGACGCTGGGGGAATTGGGTCATCTGCTCCCCCGCCGCATGCGGGCGTAAGGAGATTTCAGTCAAAGACCCAGCAAAAACAAGCAGCTACGATATACCCGAGGTCTGCCACCAGGGTGAAGGAAGTTCCGCCCAGTTCGCGCTCGGCGCGGCACGGAACTACGGCTTCGGCGCCATCCGCGTCCAGGTCGGGCGGCACGTCAGGATCGTCTCGAGCCACCACTACGTGGCCGCGCCCGACGTCGAGCTCGACGTCGCCCGCATGGCACCCATGGTCCCCCCGCCGGACCCGCCGGCCCACGTGGCGCCGCACTTCAGCTACCTGCCGCTCGACACTCTGCCAAGCTCGCGGCCGGACGCGAGCGGCGGCGACCCCGCGCGGCCCACGGCCGACGAGACCTCGGCCCCGGAGGAGCTGCGCCCCCCGCTCGCGGGGGAGCACGGCCCCGCGCCCACGGGGGAGCCTCCCGACGTTGGAAAATCCCACTGTATGCATGACGATTTCTAGAATCTCACCGTCGAGCTCGAACGATGGGGCTGCCGCCGTCTCGTGCGTGCACGAGCCGGTGAGCTTCGGTGTGTACGCGGCCCGCGCTCGCGGCCCCACGAAAGACGATGGAGGCCCTGCCGGCGCCGTCGCGCGACAGCGAGGCGCAGCTGCTCGCCATGCTGAGCAAGCTCTGGCTCATCCGGCGGCGCGACCGGACCGCGGCGCTGCAGATCTTCGGGCTGCCGGCCTTCGCGTTATCGCTCTGCGCGCTCGTCTACGAGGTCTTCGGCCGCGGCCTGCGGCACAGCACGGGCTACTTCGAGCTCGTCGTCGTGCCGCTCTTTGGCGTGTCGGCGTTCAGCAGCTCGCTGGCGACGACCTTAGTCGCCGAGCGGAGCCAGGGGTTGCTAGAGACGATGAAGATCATGTCGCTCAGCGACGGCGTCTACCAGATTGCCCACGTCTTCGAGGCGCTGGCCCTCGGCGCCGTCGCGGCGGCCGAGGTCGCGTTTCTCACGGTCTGGCTCGAGCTGTGCAAGCAGCCCCAGTGGGGCGCCGTCTTCGACCTCTTCCTCGCCTTCTATGTGGCGCAGACGGCCCTGGCGCTCCTCGTCGCGTCCGCCGTCGAGCGCGAGCAGTTCGCGGGGCAGCTCATGTTCTTCGGGCAAGTCGTCGCCGCGCCGCTCGTCTTCGCGCTCGCCGTCGTCAAGATGGAGGACGGCCACCGCGACGTCAAGGACCACTACGTGTCACCGCGGGTCCAGCGCCTCGCCTGCCTCCACCCCACCGTCGCGCTCCTCGTGGGCCTCGACGCGTTCCGGGGCCCGCCGACGAACGAGAGGCTCCGGCCCCCGTACCGGGGCCTGCCCGAGCGCGAGATCATCCGCATGCTCGTCATCGACGCCGTGGTCTACTTTGTCCTCGCGCGGCTCGAGCTCGCGCTGCGGTCGGAGTACGGGTCCGTCGCGGCGTTCTACGAGAGGGCCGCGGCGCTCTGCCGCGCGTGCGTGTACGGCGTGGACGACCTGGCGCTCATGGAGCCGCTCCTCGCGAGTGAGCACGCGCGGCCGGCGCCGGGCGCCCTCCAGGACGCGAAGCTGACTCACGGCACGCCGCCGTCCGTCGTCTGCCGCGACCTCCGGAAAGTTTACGGCGGCAAGGCCGTCGTCGACGACCTCAGCCTCGACATGTACGAGGGCGAGATCTTCTCGCTGTTGGGCCACAACGGCGCGGGCAAGTCGACGACCTGCGGCCTCCTGACGGGCATCGTCGCGAGCGACTCGAAGAGGGAAGATGGGGGCGCGGTCGTCTACGGCCACGGCATCCGCGGCGGCATGACGGCCGTGCGCCAGCTCGCGGGCTTCTGCCCCCAGCACGACTGCCTCTTTGAGAAGCTGTCCTGCTACGAGCACGTTGTCTTCTTCGGGCGACTGAAGGGGCGGGCCCAGGCGGACGCGGAGCGCGCGGCCGCAGATCTGCTGGACCGGTTTCGATTGGGCGACCGGCGGAGCGACCTGGCCTGCGAGCTGTCCGGCGGCATGCGGCGCAAGCTGTCGACGGCAATCGCCCTCTGCGGCGGGTCCAAGTTCGCGCTGCTCGACGAGCCGACCGCGGGCATGGACGCGCTCGCGCGACGCGAGCTCTGGGACCTGCTCGCCGCCGTGAAGCGGGACCGCACGGTCCTGCTGACGACGCACTACATGGACGAGGCCGACGCCCTGGGCGACCGCATCGGCATCATGGTCTCCGGCGTGCTGCGGTGCTGCGGGACGTCCCAGTTCCTCAAGCGGTACTACGGCGCGGGCTACCGGGTCGTCTGCGAGCGGAACAGGGACGCCGCGGCGCCGTCCCTGCGCAAGTTCGACGAGCTCCTCGCGCTTAAGCTCGGCGAGGGCGCGAAGCGCCTGACGGAGGGCGCCGAGGCCGCCCACAACGACGTCATCGTCGCCACGCTGCCGTCGACGGCGCTGCCGCACTTCGCGGTTCTTCGACGCTCTGGAGTCGCAGAAGCGCAAGCTCGAGATCGCGTCCTACGGCGTCGCCGTGTCGACGCTCGAGGAAGTCTTCCTCAAGGTCGACGGCCAGCACGCGCGCCTCGACCGCGACGGCGCCCGGGGCGCGACAGCGCGCGCGCTCGGGAGCGGGCGCGCGTACGTGCCGTCGCCGGCGACCCAGATCTACGGCCTATTAAAGGCGCGCCTCAACGTCGCGAAGCGCTCCAAGGCCGACGCCTTCAACGCCCTCTTCCCTATCCTCGGCTTCTTCGCGTCCTTCCTCTGCGACAAGTACGAGATGTTCGGCAAGGGCGACCTCAACGTCGCGAACGACTTCGCGGCCGCGTACTTCATCTCCATCGCCTTCATGGCCTACCCGGCGGCCATCGCCGCGCGCATCATCCACGAGCGGCGCGTCAAGCTGCGGAGCCTGCTGGCGGTCATGGGCGTCGACGCGCCGACGTACTGGGTCGGCAACTTTGTCGGCGACGGCGCGCTCTACGGCGTCGTGCTCGCGGCCATGTGGGCCATCATGATCGGCATCGCGCCCCAGCGCTGGATCCGCCAGGGCGCCATGTCCTACCTGCTCCCGGTCTGGGGCGCCTTCCTCATCGCCTACGCGTACTCGCTCTCCTTTTTGTTCGGGACGTCGCCCGCGCGCGCGGTCGTCGGCATCCCGGGCCTGAACCTGCTGCTGACCATGCTGCCCCAGACCATCGTGCTCGTGGCCTGGGTTTTAGCCCACAAGCGCTTCCCCAAGATCTTCACGAAGGCGCGCGTGGAGACGGGCCAGTTCTGGCTCGGCGCCGTGACGAGCCCGTACACGAGCTTCTGGATCGGCTTCTTCCAGATGGGCGCGGGCCACTTCAAGAAGTACGTCTCGAAGCAGACGGTCTACCCGACGCCGCGGGACATCATGGTCGTGTTAGCCGTCGAGGGCGCCTGCCATCTGCTTCTGGTGCTCTATCTCGACGGCCGCGCGCGGCTTCCCGTCGCGCTGCCGCCGCACGGCAACGACTTGGACCCCGAGGAGGACGACGACGTCCGCGCGGAGCGCCAGGCCGTGCTCGCGACGCCCGACGGGCCGGGCGGGGACGAGGAGGTGGGGGCGGCGCCCGCGCTCGTGGTGAAGCACCTCCGCAAGGTCTTCCCGGCGGCGAAGCCCGGCGACGCGGACGTCGTCGCCGTGCGCAACAACTGCTTCCAGGTGCGCCGCGGCGAGTGCTTCGGGCTGCTGGGCGCCAACGGCGCGGGCAAGTCGACGACGCTGAACATGATCATCCGCCACACGGTGCCGTCGGCCGGGGACGCGCGGATCATGGGCCACTCCGTGCTCGACGACTTCGACGCGGCCGCGAAGCATCTCGGCGTCGTCGACCAGCACAACACGCTCTGGGACTCGCTGAGCGCCCAGGACCACCTGGAGCTCTTCGCCATGCTCCGGGGCTGCCCGCGCGGCGAGGCGCGCGCGCTCGTCGACGCGTGTCTGGAAGACTTGGAGCTGAAGCCGCACGCGGCGAAGCTGAGCTGCGATCTGAGCGGCGGCATGAAGCGGAAGCTATGCTGCGCCATCGCGTTGATCGGCGACCCGGCCTGCGTGCTCCTCGACGAGCCGTCCGCGGGCCTCGACCCCGTCGCGCGGCGGAACCTGTGGAACGTGCTGGGCGCGACGATGTCCGCGCGGGGCGTCGTGCTGACGTCGCACCTCATGGACGAGGTCACGGTGCTCTGCGACCGCATCTCGATCATGACCAAGGGCACGATGCGCTGTTTAGGGACGCCCCAGCATTTGGTGGACGCGTACGGGCGCCACTACGAGCTCACCTTAGTCCACACGCTCGACGCGGACCCCGCGAAGCTCGACGAGTTCGTTCACGCGTCCTTTTCCAAGCGGAGCTCGCTCGACAGCGTCATGCAGAACCGGCGGACCTACCTCATCGACCGCGACGCCGTCGACGTCGCGAGCGCGTTCCGGTCCCTGGAGAAGCGGAAGAAGGCGCTCGGCGTCGACGAGTACATGTTCAATCAGCCGTCGCTGGAGCAGGTCTTCCTGAAGTTCGCCGCGTCGCTGGAGCAGGTCTTCCTGAAGTTCGCCGCGTCCGCGCACGGCGCGACGACTTCCTCGAGGCCGAGCCCGTGACGGCGAAGCCCCACGGCAACTTCGGCGAGGACGCAAGCGACGCCGAGGCGCCGCCCGCGCTCACGCGCGGGACGTCGTTCTCCCACAAGCGCGGGCGATAACGCGCCTAGGAATACGCCTCGGGGTCGTAGAGGAACAGGTGGGGCCGCGGGTTGTAGAGCACCCGGTATACCTGGGAGTAGGGCTCGATGCCCTTCTTCCCCGCGGCGAATGCGAGTTGCCTCCATCTGCTGCAGTAAAAATGGGACCCAAAAAAAGGAGTACGCCTCTTCCACCTTGTGGGCTCGAAGAAAGCACCCGAGCGTCATTCCCAATCTGCATCTGCAACGCAAAGCCGGCTTTCTATCCTGGCGAGCCACATACGATTTAGTTTGAATTATTTATCTCTTTACTTCAGAGGCATGCAGATCGATCGACGCGATGTCGGAGCTGTCGACACGGACACGCGCTCGGCGACGGACGCGCCCAGATGGTCGATGACGGGTCGACGACAAAGAGGCAGCCGCGCCGGCACCGAAATCGACGAGGTGACCTTCCTGCGCGGCCCGCTCGAGGCGCTGGGCGTCGACGGCTTCACCTGGAGCGTCGATCGTCGGCGCGCGGTCCGCGGCGATCCTCGAGGCGCTCGGCGTCCCGCTGGGCGTCCGAGACGTGGACGAGATCCTCGGGGCGCGTGCTGGTCGATGCCGCGCCCGTCCTTCGATAAGAAGATGACGCGCCGCGCGCCCCTGCGCCATGTCCGCGACAACGAACACGGGACGCCTTCCTCAAGGCGGCGAAGGGGCGCGGACCCGCGGCGCGGCGCTGTCTTCGAGGACTCGCCCCTCGGTCGCGCTTCCGCGCACACCCGCCAACGCGGGCCGCTTCGCCGAGCTCACGCTGACCTTTACGGGATCGCGGACTTCCGACGAGAAGCGACTCGAAGCACGAAGCATCCCAGCACAAAACCGCTTCAACCATGATATCCCGGCACAAAAACGCTTCAAGCATCTGCTGACGATGCCCTTCTGCCTTTGCAAGAACCTCCCGGCGCCCATCGTCCTTCGTGCTACGCGCGCGGATATAGCAACACTATCGGCGTAGCATGCCACACTGACCCGGGTTAGTATGAGAGGCAGCTCGAGGCGATCGCGACACAACATTAGAGAAAGGCGCCACGAAAGCGCACGTCGCTTAGGCTCGTCGTCACTTTCCCGCCTTCTCGATTTTGCTTTCCTTCTCACTCTCCTTTTTCCCTAGCGCGAAAATGCCTACGGATAGTCCAAGTCCGGCCTCAACGTGGCCAAAGACACCTATCGCCAGCTGCACCACGCGATGGGGCAGCCCCCTTGCAGTGGCCCGGTCCGCTGCCAGCGGCACTCTAATCCACACCCTAGCGCGAAAATGCCTACGGATAGTCCCCAGGGGCACTGCAAGTCCGGCCTCAACGTGGCCATGCGCCATGTCCGCGACAACGAACACGGGACGCCTTCCTCAAGGCGGCGAAGGGGCTCAGACCCGCGGCGCGGCGCTGCCTTCAAGGACTCGCCCCTCGGTCGCGCTTCCGCGCACGCCCGCCGACGCGGGCCGCTTCGCCGTTAATAGAGTGACCCTGACCCTCTCCTGTTGGGAATCAGGGGTGGCGATGCGCGACAAGTACGCCCGCTGGATATCGTTCTGGCCCCTCATGTCGCTCGGCGGGCTTGACTTGAGGCTAGCTCGGCCCCATCGAGGCCGTTTTGCGGTACCCTAAACGTTTTTTTAATGGGGCGGCGCCCCATTTGCGAATCAAAAAGGGTACCGAACCCCCGGCCAAGTCTCTATTTTTCTAGGATTTTTTGAAGATGACGATGAGCGCGGGCTGCGCTTCGCAGAGCATGGGCGAGTCGCCTCTTTCGGCGCGCAATGCGGGTGTCTCGGGGCATACGATCGTCCCTGCTTCCTCCGCTGGAGACCGCGTGCTGGCATGTCGATGAATGGTCGAATCGCCGGCAAACTTTGTGGGATTGGTTGTGTGATCATGGGCCACAAAGGGAGGGCGTTTATGTACGGGAACGGCTGATGAGGCCCGGGGTAAGTTCTTCCCAACCGCTGGATGCCCCGCTGGACGCGAGGGGGTCGCGGCTTCGAATCTCCCTTCCGCGAAGCGGCGCGGACGGCGCGGACGGCGCGGACGGCGCGGACGGCGCGGACGCGGCACGGGGTCACTTTTTTTTGTTCCAACGAGTGATCTCACGGATGAATTAAGATCTCCGATGCTGGGAGAGGTCGACAGAGAGATACGACCCCGACTCCGCGGACAACGAGGCCGGGCGCTGCGCACCGTGGCCCGAGTGCGTGACCGCGCCGCAGGAGCCATCCGAGTTTCCCGACGCTCTGCGCTCCTGTTAGCCCCGCCCCGGTCCCTACGGCCCTAAAGGAGCGGTCTGCGCCGGCTCGGGGTCGCTCTGGTGCCGTTTGGAGTCCAGCCTGGCGTACTTGTCGTGCTTCGCCACGAGGGACCTCGGGGCGGAACGCCGCCGCGCGGGGAGGACGCTCACGCGGGGTGCACGAGCGCGTCGCGCGGCGAGCCGCGCGGCCGCGGCGCGCGCGCGCGGGCGACGCCGAGGTCGCCCGGGCGCATGAGGAGGAACTCGAGGAGGTAGAGGGCGATGTCCCTCGGGAGGAGCGAGAGCACGGAGCCGGCGTCGGCGCGGCCGATCTCGACGAGCCGCAGGCGCGCGTAGAGCCGGGGCCAGCGGTCGTCGAAGATGCCGAGGCCGCGGAGCGCGCGGCGCTCGCGCTTGCCCCGGAGGAAGGTCTCGAGGGCCGCCGTGCCCCGCAGCGACGCCTTGGACGCGGAGTACTCGAGGTGCGCCTCGTGGAGCCGCGCCTCCGCCGCGAGGCGCCGCGCGTCGTCGCGCGCGCGCGCGCCCGCCGCGGACGCGCGGAGTTCGGCCTTGGCCTCGCGGAACCGCTGCCGCGCGTTCATGGCCACGAGCACGGCGGACCGCGCGTCCTCGTAGGCCCGCGCGTCGACCGTCGCCGCCTTGACGATG